TATATATTAATCCTATATATATATAAATCCTATATATATATATATAACTATATATTAATCCTATATATATAAATCCTATATATATATATATATATATATAAATATATATTAATCCTATATATATATAAATCCTATATATATATATATATAAATATATAGGATTAATATATATATATATATATTATCCCATATATATATATATATATAGGATCAATATATATATTAATCCCATATATATATATATAATAATCCTATATAAATATATAGGAACTATAATAATCCTATATTTATATATAAATCCTATATATACATATTAATCCTATATATATTAATCCAATATTTATATATATATAAATATATATTAATATATATATATATATATATATATATAAATATATATTAATCCTATATATATAAATATATATATATATATATATAAATATTTATTAATCCTATATATATATATATATATATGTATATATATAAATATTTATTAATCCTATATATATATATATATATATATATAAATATTTATTATATCTATATATATATATATATATAAATATTTATTAATCCTATATATATATATAAATATTTATTAATCCTATATATATATATATATGTATATATATAAAATTTATTAATCTATATATATATATATATATATATATAAATAAATATATATTAATCCTATATATATATAAACTATATATATATATATAAATATATATAAAAATTATATATATATATATATACATCCTATATATATACATATAAATATATATATATATATATATATATATATATATATATATATATATATATATATATATATATAGGATTAATATATGTAGGTAAGGTCGAATTTAACTTTATTGACCTTGCCTACTGAACGCTCCTTTGTCGAGAGGTTAGCACGTCACGTAAATGACGGTTCCGTATAGGATGCAGGTTCGAATCCTGTCAAAGGACGAATATTTTCTATGAAAATTTCTCGACATTCAGGCCAGTAAATGTTATTTAATACTGTTTAATATAAACAGAGCATTTACTTAAATACTGGTATCTATAAAAAAAGAACGTTAAACATAAAAATGTCTTTAATAAATAAATTTTCGGACTTTGTCCATTTCTTAATATATATATATATATATATTTATTTGATATGATGTATTGCTGGTATTTTTACTATAATAATGTATTTTTGTATTTTCATAGTGTTTTGACCTCAGTTTGGTTGTTAACTATTTGCTTGGAACCTAACAGGTGCTACCACCTCAGGTCAGGGTGAACCTGGGAATGACATCAATCAAGAGGTGGTTCCACACTCCTCAACGTCACTGAATCAGAGGCTTTGTTGTCAGATGTAGTTTATCGTCCTACCTGGGATGATGAAAATCAAAGTTTTTCAATTCTGAGAAGTGTTGCAATGCAAAGAAAGTTTAAAGAATGCTAATGTACAAAAATTATTTCCCAGACATTTTTTTCTTATTTTTTATGTCGGAGTAGACCAATCTACTTTTTTATACTAATGTTCACCCAATACAAGGCCATAGAGCCACCCATGGTAGAGGGTTAATGTGTGGTTCTGTATGAGAATAAAAAAAGCAAGAAATAAGTTCATGAGGCTATACAGGAAAGATAACGGCTAACCCTAGATGTCAAAATTGTATTGATTGTGAAAACATTTTGCCGGGAGTTTGTTCCACAAAGCAGCAATTCTTGGGAAGAAGTTACCCGAACGGAACATAGGAGTAACAAGGGAATGGAGACAATTTACAATACATACATGTAAATATCATTTGGAAAAGTATGAATCCATCTAATCTCTACCCAGTTATGGGTAAATAGCCTAGGTCATCTCTGAATTCAAGACTATATATATTGGTTAGTCTCACCAATCTGCAACGTGACAAGTGTGGTGAGTACAGCTACTGTTACTGTAGTCGTACTCTACACCTACCTCTGAAGACATGGTCACTCAGGTAGCAGTTCCTAAAAGGTGTGAGAAAGCCCTGGGTCTGTTCTAAGGCACTTTCATCCCTGGTACCTTTTTAAATCCTTAAAGTTTAAGTTCTATTTTCAATAACCTGATATACAAGATTTTTTTTTTAGTAAATGATTAATATAATAATAATGTAAAAAAAAAAAAAATTCATATAATGTGGCTGTCTATTGCAGAAATGGCGGTTTATTTAAAAAGATCAAATTTTTTTTATCACCAACTTTACTTTTGTAATAAAATTTCACCTTTAACCAGGTGTAAACAGAATATTCTTTTTTAATAATGTATTTTAAATTCTAAAATTTATTTAATTTGTATTTACCGAGAGATTAAAAGTGGGATTTTATTTTACCAAAATATTTTTTTTATTTCATCACGACTTTTTTGTGACGACGAAAGATATCGTAAAGGAATAAGAATTGCGTGATTAAACTCGTCACTAACAGATTGTATTTTTTTTCTGTGAACGCATTTCATTGTCATTCAGGTTTTATGACGTTCCAGGCAATGTGATACAAATATCGCTAGAAAAGTGAATCCGAACCAATTCATTTTTAAAAGACGTGTAAAAACACGTTTTTTGTCTTATTTTTTCCTACTGTCTCACGCAAAAAAAAAAAAAAAAAACGACAAAAACAACCTGACAACGAACTGTTTGATTCCCAAGACAAGACCTTCCTGAAATTCTACAACTGTCGCTGAATGATCTCACGCAAGAACAGAGGTTTATTGTTTTTACTACTATTTTTAATTAATTTGAAAACATGAATGAATGGACACAAAATTTATTGGAAAAAAAAAAACAAAACTTTAAAAAGTGGGAGAAAAGTTAGGACGCCTGCTGTAGAGTGATAGTTCATTCATTGCTTCCGTATTCTTTTTTTTAAATAGCAATTTTGTTTCACAAAGCATTGCCACTGAGTTCGATTGTTTCAGGATAAGCCACTGTTGTAGTAGCCTTATATAACAAATAAGAATCTCCAAGGAAAAATTCTGCCCCCACCTTTTTTTTAAGCTCTGTGGCACAAATCTTGAGGAATATAGTTACCAAAGTAAACTTGCAGACTGTGTACGTACTGTAGTGACGTAGTGTTATTATATAGTTAGTACAATTCACCAGAATGCCGTATAAAAAGCTAAAAGCTCCTATAGTTGAAATTTAACACCATAGCTAAGAATTAGCATTGAAGAGTTCGAGTCCAGGTTAAGGTTCGGATGCTGATTTTTGAAGATACAGGCAGGATTAACACTTACACTCTCCCCACCTTTTTATTAGTCGAAGAAGAAAAAACAGGCAAGAGGGTAATTAAGAACTTTATTTTATAAAAAAAAAACAAAAAAAAAACTACGTTATCGTTATATAACTTATGTACTTAAAACCCCCCAAAAAACTTAAGGATAAAATAAGAAACCCGATAATTACCTTCTTTGTCACTAAAAATCTATTTCTATCAAAATATAAACAAAGTGGAATCTGACGTCGTTAATCGATTTGAATAGTAAATGAAAAAAAAACAAACTCCAGAACGAATTTCAATAATAAAAAAAAATATCAGTGTAAAAAAACAACACCCTGTAAAAATGAAATTGTTAACTTTAAAAAACTTACTTTGTTTTGGCTTCCGGAGGGGAGAGGGATCAATATTTACATTACAATACATAGCAAACTGTATCACACTGTTGACTTTTAAAATTAAAAAAAAATTGCAATTTAAACAAATATTAAATTATGAAAAAATACTTTAAAAAATTGCTTTGATTCTCGATAGTTGCTGTGTTACTTTTTTTTTTTTTTTTTAAGTCAGTGTCTAGTAAATAAACAAATCCACCAAATAAAAATAAATAAAAAACTTTAAAAAAAATTGTCCTTAAATGGCATTGGGAATTTAACACAAACAAGATGTGTAGATGAAAACTGTTGTGCTAATCTTCCACGCTGTTTTGCCTTGAAAAATCATCGTTGGAAATCCTGTCCCTTTATCTGGACTTGAACACCTATTTGGAACTAAGCGCACGACCATTTCAACCAGAAGGCAGGTCACTGACATTGCAAATTTATTTAATCCAAAATGGTTGACATCGAAATTTTAACTAGTTAAGGGTTTTTTTTTTTTTTTTTTCAAAGTTGTCTGTTTATTGTATTTTTTAAGAAATAAACTAAAAATAATATAGCAACCTGCTTTAAGTTTTGAACTTGGAAAATAAAAGAAAGGCCATTTATTTATTTACAATCGATCCATCAAATTCCAACTTAAAAAAAAACAAACAAAACTTTTAAATACTTTGGTAAATTAAATTTTAATTAAAAAAAAGTCAGTTTATTTAATTAAAATAAAAATAGTTCATTTTGTACGTTATTGATACGGACTTCTTAAAAGAAAAAATAATTTAAGTAAGTTCATTGTTAAAAAAAAAAACAAACTAATTTCTTTCCTAATTACGTAGTAAAAACGGACAGATTTTAAAAATCTGGGTTAAAGTCAACTTAGAACAGAATTAATTAATAAAGCAATAACTGCCATGAAAAAGTAAAATTAACTACGTGTTTTAGTGTGAAAAAATGTTCTTTTATTAAATAATCCTGATTCCTTAGTTTAATTTAAATTTATAATCATTTGCTTGACTTGCTTCTTGATCAATATCTTGATTGTAATTAAAATCCCATTAAGAAAATGTTTTTTTTTCTCGTCCTAAATTCACCTTAAAGACTGAGAAAATATCAAGCTCCTAAAAAAAGAAAGAAAAAAAAAAAAAGGTTGGCAATAAAATAACTTTGATGTTGTTTTTAGCTTAGAAGTATTTTTACGACAAGGCGGTCATGTGATCTGGACCCAACACACCTTCTGCCCCATAAAAGATTTGCATTTGAGTGTTGTGCCGTATAGTAAGATAAAATATAAAATTTATTGTCCTTATAAATCACAATATTTTTTTTTTTAAATGGATAAATTTTCTCCGGACACAAAATTATTTTCTAAAAAGACGTAGTTGCAATATGAGGTAGGGGACAAAAAGTGTCAGATTTTGTTTTCGTTTATTTGGGGAGTGGCTTCTTTTTTGTTTATCCCTACTGTCTGTCCCAATTGTTTTTCTCCACTTTCGGGCAATATGCCTGACATAACTTGACAAATTACGGAGATCTGAAACAAAAAAAAAAAATAATAATTAAGCAATTATTAGTCCGATGGAAATGAAATGCATTTCGAAGTTGGCTTTTTAAAAATGCTAAGTTTAATCACGCAGTAAATGACCTTCTAATTTAAACAAAAAAATATTTTAGATTCCTAGATTCCTTAGACATCTGGTACAAAGTACAAACATTTGTTTAGAAAGTTAAAAAAAAAAGTGTCCCAAACCAACCTTAACCCTAAACCGACAGCCGGCGTCCATTGCAATAATGGCGGGTACCTAAAGATCACGCAAAAACCATACTTTTTTTTTCTTTAACGGACATTAAAATAACTGATTTTCAACAGAATTATCAAATATGCAATTGTAAAGACTCTGGAATACTGCGGTTACAATTCAGTCACTTTTAAAATAATTTAAAAGTATAAAGCTGGGAAGAAGGTAATAATTGTTGCACGAGTAAACTGGGATATTATTATTACTTTAAAAATACATAGCACAAAATTAGGTCAGTTGTACTAAATTTTCTCTTTTCATGATTAACGAAAAAACAAAACAAAACAAATCTTTTTTTCCCCTTTAACCAAAGACTCTTTTCTTCATCTCCAATGACACATTCATTACTTTGTTGAAGCCGTAAGAGTAAGACTTTTTTTTTAGTAAGTAAAAGAATTTTAATAATAAGTAGTAGATCTTTTCTTTTTCTTTCTTTCTTTTTTGTCCACTGGTTGTATTACTTTGACTTTAAAGTTCGTTTGTCGCCTTTTTTTTTTCTGCTTGTCTCCATCGTTCCTCCTGCGTGGGTCTCCTAATTCGTCTTCCTTTCTTCCTCAGATCTTTTCTTATTTTGGCCTTCAATCTCCTCCTCCTCCTCGCGTTTATGTCTACCTCTTACCTCCTTTCATTTGCCCCCTCTTTCTATCTACTTTTCCCCTCCATCAATAGTTTTGTTTGTCTGTCTTTTTTTCTTTCTCTCTCGCTTGGGGGTTGTTGTTGCAATCCATACACACATTTTTTGTTTGTTGCTTTATCTTTTTCTTTCATCGTCATCTGTTTCAGCCAAGCTTTTTATTAAACGACCCCTGCATGTTTAGTTAATTGTTTCTCCTTCTCTTTCTTTCTCGCACATCACTGAATTATTTCATACTGTCAATACGCTCCCCCCCACATCTATTACTTTTTTTTTGCTCTTTTATCTTTCTGTCATTCTTTCTCACATTTTTCCTCTTTCGTTCGCTCTTTCTTCCACTCTTCATCGTTTTTTTTTCTGTTTTAGTTTTATCTCTACCCACTTTCGGCAGCTTTTCCATTTATTTATTTATTTAATATCTCTGCACAGTGCAACCTCAGGTGTTTATTTCTATTTACCACCCTGCCCACCTACTTTCACTTTTTTTCACCTACAATTGTCTTCTTCACACTTTTTGTTAGTTCCTTCTTTAATGTTTTAGTTCCCTCTTCTTAGTTCATTTATTCAGTCTTCCGTTCTATTTTGCTGACATTTTTGTTTAAAAAAAAAAAAGAAAAAAACATCTCTCTCTAAATTTTTATTTCTTTTTTTTTTAATTTAAGTTTCTGTGGGTTTTTTTTTTTTCAACTCGACATAATTTCTTTTTTGTTCGTTTTTTTTTTTTTTTTAAACTTTATTTTATTTCCCATTATTACATTTTTCTTTTGCTTCTGTTTCCTTCCATTTTATTTTTCTCAGCTGTTTTTTCTTTCTTTCTTTCCGGTTTGATTTCTTTCTCTCTTCTCTTCTCACATTCAAACCTGATTTTTCTAAATTTCTTCCGTTCACCTCTTTCTCTCAAAGACACCAGTGTTTTCCACTTTCCTTTTCTTATTTATATACAGTCCGTTATTTCATTTTCATAGAAAACGACTGTGGCTGTAATTCGATTATAAATTCTATTTTTCTTTCGGCACCCCCCTCTCCAGGTGGTAATGCGTTTTTTTCTACTGTTCTATTAATTTTCTATGTCTTCTTATTTATCAGCATTTATTAACTTTACTAAGCATAATATATCAAAGTTACACTACAGCTTTAAAAAGAAAAAAAATCTTAAATTTTTTAAAAGTCATTCCTTCATTAACTGCATTTTCCTTTTGCTTTCTTCTTCCTTGACACTTGCAATGGTTTGTTTTGTTTTTACTTTTTCCTCACTCCTTATTTTCCCTTCAATGTAATAAATCTCACTTTATCTATTTTTCCTTATTTACATTACTAAGTAAGGCTTCTTTTTTGAAAATATATTTCTGTAAGTGTAAATACATTTTTATAACTTCACTTTTTTGTTTGACGTTCATCCGGAAATGACAGTCAAGCCTCGTTCTGGATCAGGAAGAAAGAGAAAGATAAAGAAAATGGAAAGAGAGAGAAAAAAAGCTCCAAAGATTCAAAGACAGGGGTGGAGAAAACGAGAAAAGAAAGCAAGAGAAAATAAACTAAGGTAGGAGGCGCGGACATAAAGAGACGTTATAAGTTACTGAAGTAGGCGGAGGCGAATAAAGAGGAGCGGTGTTAGTAGTCGAATGAATCTGTTGCACGAGAGCAGTGGGGAAAGGAGTGATGAGGGTAGGAGGAAAGGGTGTGTACGAAGTAGGAGGTGGCCAGCACCACAACAGTCTGGGGCAAATCACACCAACCCATCACAATACACACACATACATACAGATACATATAAGCACATAAACATAAAAGTAGAGATAACTTACATTTCATATATACATACACTTTTCCGTCCACAATAATCATTCATTGCAGTTTTTCTGTAAATTTTGATGGAAGAATCGAGTAGCAGTGAGCCGCCTAGATGCCCTTGTGGATTTTGGGGGTAAGAGCTTGGCCTCTGTCTTTATTACCATTATTTTCCTTAAGGTTAATATTTATTTATCCTGGAAAGGAAAAAATATAGAGCCAAGTCACCGAACAATTTTTTTAAACCAGTGACAAACACGCACAGACCCATAAAAAAAAAATGGGTGGACCTGTTTTATTTTTTTTTTATTTTTTTTTTTAAAATATGGAAGTCTTGCTGTATCACAATTTATTGCCTACGCTTTTTCGTTTTTTTTTTTTTTTTTTTTTTGTCAAATTGATTTGTGTGTGTGTTTGTGGGGAGCTGTTCTTTCTAAGTGAATTCTTTCCACTGAAGAAACCAGTTCATCTGTAGTCCGTTTTCTACCGGCATTTCTCGGAGGGTGGTGGTGAAGGCAGTCTCCGTGGGTCGAGAGTTTGTTGTTTTAGGGAGGCCTAAAAAAATTGTCCTGAATTTGTAGCAGTTCAAAAGAGAAAGAAGAAAAAAAAAAAAGGTCCCTTCAGATCATTGCTTTTTTTTTTATTTTATTATTTTTTTGTTTTTATTCGCCATGCTACTTGCTGCTGCTTTGGCCAGTTTATACTAAAAAGGAGAGAAAGAGATGGAGACTAGTGCGTTTGTATGTATATGAACAACAAGAACGGGAGACATTTTTCATTCTTTAAAATTCTTAACGGCAACTCTTCTATTTGTTAACCCCCCAATATATACATTCTTTGTTCTTTTGTGCATCCGTACTATTTGAAAGCTTTGATTTATTTGGCATTTCTGGTTGCTTTTTTCTGTGTATATCATAGATATACGTGATTTTTGTCGGGCTGAGAAAGCAAGAGTGAGGGTGTTGCTGTTTCTGGATAGGGAGATGGGGGTCGAGAAATCACCGACCATTTTATAAAGTCTTGTACAATTTATTATTATTTAAACCATTTATTATTATTAAGATATATCTCATTATGCCAGATTACAAATCGCTGTCCAGAGACTAGGTTAGTAGTAAAAACTACATACATTTATTTATTTTTTTTGTTACCTCCAGGGGTCGACACTACGGTTTTATCGACTAAGCTACCATCCGTGCCCCCCTCCCTTTGGTAGTCTTCCCCCCTCTTCGATAATTCAATTTACAAAGCCAAGGGAGAAGGGAAGCATTTCATCGCGAAGAAAACCTCCAGAAAACAAAACTACTAAGGTGTATATTTGTTTCTTTGGTATATATAATCGTTTGTTTGTCCTCGGTGTTGTTTTAAAGAATTTGACTTACTTGACCACACCTAAAATTAAGTCATTCATCACCTGTGTACGTCATGGATTGCCTATATGAATGTGTGTGTATAAAATATATATATATATATATATATATATACATACACACACATGATGGGTCGTGTGAATATTGTCTTTACTCTTTAGGAAAGGAAATCGTGACAACTCAAGAATGGGTGAAGGAGCCCGCATCATTAAACTAGTGAAGTAGAATTTGTAAAATTTGTAGTATTAAATTTTATTCTTTTCAAATATAATTGTTTTAAATTCACGACTGTGTGTATTGAATATTGTATGTTATCTTGTTAGAATTTCATATTTGTCTAGGAAGAGAAATTAATAATGTATATAATCAATTGTTTTTAACCAGAAATTAAGACAAAACAAACTGATAAAAATTGTCCTATTTTAGTAGTATTCACACGGGGATTAATAAAGAAAGGTGTACGAAATGGCTTGTAAAGTTACGAAGAGAAAAATAAAAAAGTTAAATAGTCAATGTAGGTAAAAGATATTTATAACTATCTCTTTAAAAAATCTTTTTGTTGAATAAATAACTTATAGCTTTACGTTAAAATCCAAGTTCAGGATTTATTTTTTTTTTTTTTTAAATGATTATCTTGTTTAATAATGTAAAAAGCCAACATTTTTTTCTTTAATCCGGTTATTCAAAGTCTGCTTTCGTTAGTTATTTGTCTAAATTCTTATAATATTTAAAAAGGATAAACAAAATCCCCCTTTCTCACACATATACGTGTGTGTTCTTTGTGAATAATGTAACCATCTTGTTTTGTAACAGAATGCATTGTCTGTCTGTCTGTTTGTCTCTCTTTCTCCTGTCTTATTTTTATTTTTTTTTTAATTGTTTTTCTTTTCTTTGTTAATTCCATTATTCTCTTCATTACAATTTTCCTTTCCCAACTGCTAAAAGATTTTAGACAAACCACATTATACAATATTTTTCAGGTCTCCCAAAACCCTTGGGCTCTGCTCTAAGTGTTACAAGGGTAAGTACACACATGACTGGCATTGTGACATGGATATAAATCGTTCGGTATTCCTTTTTAGAAGGCGATCGGAGCCGCCGTCTGTTCAGGATTTTTCTGTTTACGGATGCTCAATAGTGTCATAATTATCGATTCTCTTGTAATACTACTTATATCTCCCCTCCTTTTTTTTTTTTTCTTTATTATAGTTAAAGAGTGTTGTTACGAGTGGTTTTAATGTCGTGTTATCCCGACTTAGTTGTGAGGTGGTGGTGATAATGACATTGCTACGAACCGCCCCACCCTCTTATTAGTGCAGTTGCTCTATAAATAAGTAAATAAAAACCGCACACAATAGTACGTCAATGTTTTTATTGGTCAACACATCAAGGGATGCATTTTATTATCTTAAAAAAGATAAATGATTTGCTGCTTGCATAATTTCCCATTCGTACAAAAATACTAATTTACTGGCGTCCCATAAAAAGATCTCTATTGATTTAAAACGGTTTGCTTGTATTTTATTTTTATAAAAACGAAATAAGACATTTTTCTTTTTTGTAAGATCTGTATGAAAAAGTGACTTTACTATGCATCCGTAAATATAATAAACCAACCAGGCAGTATCTCCGATCGACAACTTTAAAGGAATATCGTCCAATCTCGTCTCTTGGCTCTCTATGTGGAATGCTTACATTTTAGAATATTTAGGACACTAACCCATTCACTTATCTCAGATCCAACGATACCCTACATTTCCTCCCTATTATTTTCTGAGATTTATCTTTTCACGACTGGCACTTCCTTGGAGAGAGAGAAAAAAAGCAACCCTTCCTTTTTATATGGCCTCTCAATTAGTAGTAGCTGCTGAACAGACGATGTCTTATGCATTTTGGTTGTTAAGAAAAGAAAAAAAAAAGTATCTTCGTTCGAAAATTACTGTTAGTGTTAAGGGAATGTTTATGTTGTTTAATGATCTAACTACCCCCAGGCAGAATAGTACCCACATACTTCGTGTGTATTTGTGTTTCTAAAATTCCCGACACTCTCACTCTTGTGACATGTTAGGACAATTTTTTCTCCCCCCACCCCAAATTGACTGCTACAACCTTTCTCTTTTTCACTTTGTATGCCTAATCTTTACTTCAATTTTTTTTTTATTTAGTTCTTACTGTATCGTACTTTGGTCTCTGTCTTTTTTTTTTAAAATCCTTTTTATTTGATTTTTTTTTTTTTTTTTTTTTTTCTTAAGGAAAGAAAATAAGGTATAAAAATGCGTAAGTGAAAGAGGTGTGTCTGTGTGTCAGGAAGACATGAAGTGGAGTGAGAGAATGAAGTAAATGAAGAAAAAAGTGTGCAAAACAATCAAGGGGAGATAATTTATTTTCTTTCGCGACTACAAAAATGCCCCCCCCCATTTTATTTTTTTAACAGATAAAATAATTGTTTTTAAATTTATGCCATATTTATTTATCTAAAACAACCGTTTCATTTTATCTATTAAAACTGGCTTTATTTTATTTACCATGTCTATTTGATCTCTTGTTCTCTTCGAAAAGTAATAAAATATTAATTGCACTCTCTCTCTCTCTCTCTCAACTTAACAACTAACAATTTGACGACCTTTTGGTTTGGGAAATGAGGTATTTTTTTTTTTTTTTGTTAGGATTATCATTAACGTGGTAACATGATTGATTTTCACCAATATCGATTTGTCATTTGCACTCTGTTTTGATGATTACATTGATTTTAAAGTTCGTTTTTGAATGGAAGAGTGGCTAATTTAATTTTGGTTTATTTTATTTTTAAGTTAAACTTTATTTACACTACACTATGACTAGTGTATATATATATATATATATATATATATATATATATATATAAAAAATAAACGCACACACTAAATGCCAGTAATGACTGCTTTGAAATGTGTCCTAGTTTTGGTACGTATGTCTTCATAGGTTAACAATTTTCTGCTCCCCTCTACGACCTCATAATTTTTTCTTCTCAGCTGTTGTGCTACCAGTAGAAAATCTTTATTCACTTTTTAAAAAATATTTTTTGTGAAATTTATTTTTAATTTTAACTATCCCCACCTTTTTATGAATCATTGTGGTATAATCAGGCTTAAAAGAGAATGTGAGTGAAACCAAAGATTTTATAATTTTTTGATAACTTTAACTACTTTTTAAATAACTCTCCGTTACTTTTATTTTTTTTATAAATTTACTAATTTCAATGTTCGCATTAATATCTTATCAACTTTTCAAAATACAGATTTGAAACTTCGAAAAACCATTGCATTAAATATTGGATTCCTGCATAACCTTTTTCATTTTTAGGTTGTCACCATTATTTTTATTTTTTTCTTTAAGTTTAAAAACCTACCGGAGTCTTTATGGTAAAGAAAGAGTAAAAAGACTAAAAACAATCATTGACATGTTCATTTTTTTTAATTTGGGACGTTGACATCTGTCAGGAATAATGGACATAGCAGGTTACAAAATAATTATAGTAGAATGAATTACTATATAGTCCCTTAACTGTTTTCTATATGCCACTGACAAGATGACTAACAGCGAAACAGAAAAGATTGGATTTATTTTATGATCAAATGTTTTCTCAGGTACCAATAAAAGGAGGTCAGCTGTGGTGATGAATAGGATTTGAACTTTGGCCTCTTCTTCGAGATTATTTTCACGGACTCCAGTGATTCGGAAAATTGTTTTCTATTTATTTATTTAGAAGCAGTGAAAATGTTCATCA